CCAACTACGCGGCCAATCACTTCGCGGGGTAAGGAACGAGCTGGGCGGAGGGGAAGACGAAGAGTCCTGCATGGGGGAAATGCGCGCAGCAAGAAGGGAAGATGACGCGAGATGCAAAGCAAGAAACGAGGGTGCGAGACGCGCGAAGAAGTCGGAGCTTAGGCGCGCGCGCGCGCAAAAATTCAAAAAGTCCCCGCCGAAACCGTTTCTTGGTTTTTATACCGCGGCGGCTATTCGTCCGCGCGGGAGTTACTAACCAAACAAAATAAAAAAGCCGTTTCGGAAAGAAAACAAAAGCAAAAAGAAAGAAAAACCCCTTTCTGTCCGCGTTCGTACTTCGGGGCTTCCGCGGGATTTTTCCTCAAGGATACGGAAAGCCGCGCGGTACTGGTCTGAGCTTATCACATCTGTGATACGCAGGGGGTTCCAAAAATTAGCAGTCTCCCGACTGCTGAGGTCATCATATCTTAGATGATCGGGCGGCCCCTTCATCGTCCGCTGGCCCGATCATCTTCCTAATCTACGTGGATGCATCTTGCATCCTCCATCGCCTCCTCCCGTAGTATACATCCGATCGGGCGGCCCCTTCATCGTCAGCTGGCCCGATTGGTAAGGAATTTTTTTTTTTTTTTTTTTTTTTTACACACAGCGCGTCTCGACGCGCGAACTTTGGGCATAGGAGAAGAAGATGATGAAGAGAAGGAGAAGGAGAGAAGCGGGAGAGGTAGACGAGGGTGATCAGAGGAAGTGATCGATGTCGGGATTGAGAGGGGGCGGAATAGGTGGAAGAAAAGCGGCCATTGCCGCGGGAGTCGTCGGCGCATCTTCCTCCTGGAAGTGGTGCTGGACGAACCAGGGATAGAGGAAGGTCCCCGGCACATGAGACAGGACACGTGGCCCCAGATCCGCCACCGCTCGCACCACCCGCTTGCGCACCGATCGGGGCCCTGGACCCGTCATCACCACATGAGTCTCGGTGTAAGGCCGCCGCTCCCGCTTCTGCGCCGCGAAGACAAGGAAGTGGTACATCACATTGGGATGCTGCCTGGTCTCGTAGATGAGCGTCCCAGCCAGTCGCGCCTCAATGCACCCTTGAAAAGGGGGTGTGAGATATGACTCCCACGCGATGGCCTCGAGCCTGATGGTGGTGGGCTCCACCATGAAATCCACCTCTATCGGATGGACCGTCCGGCTTAGAGGAACTGCTAATGTCAATGATCGGGGCACCCCGGGGTGGCTAGCGGGAGCGGCGAGGTCCCGCGAGGACGGGGGGTCTGGATATGGGATCCGGTATTCCCATTCGGCTTCCTCCTCCGGCTGCTGCTGCTGCTGATGGCCCGGCTCCATCAAGATTGAGATCGGGCACGCGCGGGAAGGGCGGCGATGGCACGACAGTCGCCTTAACGAGCGTCGCCGCACTCCCAGGCGCGGGGTTATGATTCCACGTACGTGCGGGCTGAATCACCTCCTCACCGCCACCGATTTTGCTGCCTTGCGCTCCTAGCGACGGGTGGCGTCTCTTCCTCTTCGGCGTCTTCTTGGGGGCCTTGGGTGGCGCCGGTCGGGGATACGACGAGGGAGGCTGCAACGGCTTTTCCTCCGGGAAGTCCTCCAACCTCTTCGCGCGCAGCGCAATGTAATCCAGGATGACGACCGCGTTGTACGTTCTCTGCGGGGCCGTCGCCGTCCGCAATCGTGGCTGGATCTCCTCTTCCTCGCTCGCGATCACTTGCGCAATGGAGAGGAGCTCAAGATGTATGAGCTCCAACAATCCTGGATCGATTGTCTGGAGCTGGGCGAATGGGTACAACGCCACCGTCCCCTCCTTCTGCGCTGCCTTGGACCGTGTGATGATGTAGTAGACGACGAAGTGCTCCCCGATGCAGTGGTCTTCGTGATCCACGAAGAATCGGAACATCCCCAACGCCACTGACTTGTACAGCGCACGGTGCAACTCTCACGCGTCTTCGTCTGCGAAGGGCAGCGGTTCCACGTCAGTTAGCTCCACCATATACTCTGAGAACTCGCGCATAGGATAAGGGCCCTCCGTGAGTTGATAGGGGAGAGTGGTGTAAGAGAAGAAGGGAGGCATTTAGTACGGGGCAGGGGGAAGAGCTTGGAAGTTGAGAGGGGCAGCGGGAGGAAGAAGCGCAGGGAGCTGCGGCACCAACGCGATCGGTCTGTCCTCTGCCCTGCGCAGCAGCGTTTCGTGGGCTGTGAATCGGTGTACCCCCCGTCCTTGCACTCTGGCCACCGATCTGGCCGCCTGCACCGCATACTCGCGCACAAAACTTCGCGCCAGCGCCCAACTCGGCGGTGGCAGGATCGTCAAGTCGCCGATAAAGGTGGCGACGCTATGCACGAAGTTGGGTGCCACTTGGAGCGCGCGGAACTCGATGAACACTCGAGTCGTCTCCCGCCCAGGCAACTGCGTCACGTCCACGTACACCCCCGTTACGTCAGCCGATCGCAAAGTAACGAGTACGCCGCCAGATCAGCAACCCCGGGCGCTGGCACGCTCGTCTGCTGAATGTCGTACCGCAACTGCCTTTCCTCATTGAACTGATGCCGCAACAGGCGATCTGCAAGCGGCGTCTGGAAATGCTCGAGGGGCTCATGCTCCGGCTAGCGATGGTTCATCCTGCTCCCCGAAACTCTCAGCACCAATGGACGAGGCAGATCGGGAAGAGGAGGAAGACGAAGAAGGAGAGGATGATCTCGCAGGAGCGGGGGTCCGTATGGGGCCTAGCGATGGTTGGGAGGGACGGAGCGCGGCAGCGTGCCGTATCAGCGGGCCTGGAAGTTGTGATGGGGAATCAGCTTCACGGAGTGCTGTCCCCGTGCGCCAACTTCCGTTACCTCGTAAATGCCTGTGTAGCGCGGGTGGATCTTGGAGGAGCGCGCGGATTTCCGTACCTGCACCAAGTCCCCAATTTTATAGCGAGGGAGTGGTCCCGCGGACGCATGTCGGTTCTCATAATCGCGGATTTGCCGTTGATTGCGCGATCTACGGCCCGCTGTCGCCGGCGAGCTAACGGGGGATAGGCCCTAGCCATTAAGTCCACGTAGTGGCGGGCCTTATCTCTGTGCTGGGCCCGTGTTGCTCTAACTTCCGTACCTACCAAGGGGGACAACTGCACCCGAGGGACACTATTGGTTCTCAGTTGGAAGGGGGACACCCCAGTACTACCGTGTGGGGTAGCCCGATAGATGGCCAAAATGTGGTCGACAATGACAGGCCAGGGCCGGGTATCTCCCGCAGTGATATTCCGTCTAAGAGTGGTCTTAATCAGTCGGTTGGCATTCTGTACCAGGCCATTGGCTTGAGGCCAATGCCCCGGCGAGTAGATAATCTTAATGTCCGCCCTGACTAGGTGACGTTCTACTTCGCCTTGAAATTCCGACCCATTGTCCATGTGTACCTCTTCTACGTCTAGATGCATGCACAAAAATCGGTTTACGTACCAGGCTACCTCCTGCGAATTCCGGCTGGTCATAGGGTACGCCTCGATCCATTTCGAAAAATGATCGACGGCCACTAAAAGAACATTGAGCTCTCCCTGATCGACGGGACCTCTCGGAACGTTGATATCCGTCGTGTCGATGCTAACCCTCTGAAAGGGGTGCTCTACACGAGTAGGCACCATCGTTCGAGGCATCTGTACCGGCGCCTTGTCCGCCGCGCAGGCCGAGCAGTTCTGGACGATGTATTTCACATCTTCCCGAATTCTCGACCAGTACCATCCATTCTTTTCGATGGCTTTTTCCGTGTACTTGACTGCGAAATGGACCGCATCCTCTTCATGAGCGGCTCGTGTCTAATCGAACCTAGCGAAAGGGTGCGAAACCGTCAACCAGCTAGACCCTCCATCATCATCGACTTTTCGTTTTTGTAACGTCGGTCCCTGCCAGCGATAGTCCTGTGCCAGCTCCGTGACTCTCTGCCGCTCGGCTTTGGTAAGTTCTGACAGCGAGTCGCCTGACAACCTCCGTAGCAACAGAAGATCCGTCCAGACTTCTGCCCGGCGGGCACTTGGCGCGAATCCGTCGGCGGTCCATGCGTCCAGATACCGTTTCTCGGTAGGGACTTGGTCCGTTCTGCAGTTGGGACAGACCCACGTCTTTTCGCTTCGGTACCTAACGCATTGTCCGTGGGATTTGACCGCTTGACACTGACTATACTGCGCCCACAAAAGAAAACTGGGCCCTCCCGGATGTGACCCTTCTTGGTCCGGGACCATAGGCAAGGTACAGAAGAAACAGGGACTTAGATGTGTGTCAGGGGACGAGTAGGGACTAGACGAGAGAGCGAGGGAGTTGGATGAGGGCAAAGAGGTAGCGCCTGCCATCTCCGGCGAAACTTCCATTCCGGACTCAGGCGTCATCCTTGCGCAGCACGTGTAGCTCCCCGTAGCGTGGTTTCGTCGCCGCGGCTTCTGGCCTCCACAGAATGAGTCGCTCGTTGGCGGGACACTTGTTGGGCGGCAGGAGGTGCGTCAATCCATCGGCGTTGCCATGCTGCCGCGTGGCACGGTGGCGGATGTCGAAGTCATAATCCTGCAGACGCACCGCCCACCTTCCCAGCGTCCCCGTGTAGTCCGTGTTGCTGCGTAGGGACAGCAGCGGCTGATGATCCGTTACCAACACGAATTTTTGACCGTAAAGATACGGTCGGAAATGCTGAATCCCCCTCACCACCGTCAGGCATTCGCCCTTGCACGCTTTGTAATTGACGTGTTCCCTTCCGTCCGCCCTGTGCTGAGTCAGCACCGCCGATATCGCCTGCGGCTGCCAGTCGGTGTACAGTGCGAACGGTCTTGTCGGGTCGGGACGCGCCAACACAGGAGCAGATGTCAAAGCCTCCTTCAACGCCTGAAACGCCGCTTCGCATTCCGGCGTCCAGATCAGCTGCTCCTCTTTCTTTAGCAGGTTCGTTAGGGGCTTCGCTACACCGGCGAACCCCTTGATGAAGCGTCGGTAATAGGATGCCAGCCCTAGAAAAACCCGAACCTGGGTGAGTGTGACCGATGCCGGGGCTTCTTGAACTGCTGCCACCTTCCTTGGATCCGGTTTTAGTCCATCGACCGTGACGATGTACCCCAAGAATGAGATCTCCGACAAGAAAAACTCGCTTTTCTCCAAGGTCACTTTGAACCCCGCATCTTTTAGTGCATGCAAAACCCACTCAATGTGTTCCACGTGGTACTCGTGTGTTTTTGAAAAGACCAAAATATCATCTATGTACACAATCACGCAGAAATTGATAAGGGGCTGGGTTAATTGGTTTTTTTTAATGAACTCAGTGAACGCCATATTCATGGCCCGCTGAAACGTTGCAGGGGCGTTACAAATTCCCATGGGACACCGGACCCATTGCCAAGTGTCCTCAAATAGGACAAAAGCGGTTTTGGGTCGGTCTTCCGGTCGGACTGTGACATGGTGAAAACCGTGTCGGATATTGAACTTGGAAAAGACTCGAGCGGACCCGATAACATCTAATAAATCGTCCATTCGCGGCAAGGGATACACATCTTTGGTAGTGATAGCGTTCAATTTTCGATAGTCGATACATACCCGGACCGAACCATTTCGTTTTGGCACGAGGACCACGGGAAAAGACCACGGTCCCAGTGATGGTTCGACCCACCCCAACCGCTCGAATTCCCGTATCCTTTCCAACGCCAACTGTCTTTCTTTAAGGGAATATCGGTACGGTCGGCAATGTATCGGGGCGTGATCCCCGGTATCAATCGCGTGCTGTATCAAAGGGGTTCGCCCTATGTCGTGGTCCTGAATACTGACGGCCTCAGGATAGGCCCGTATAACCGCCAGGAGGAGGCGTCTGTATTCATCCGGAACACGGGCTGGTAACTGAACTTCTACGGTTCCCCCAGGAAGGGAGACCGTCGTCGTAACCGTGGGGACCGCCGCGCTGGCATCGGGCGAGGCCCCAAACAAAGAGTTGTTGGTTTTCGCCGAAAGGACAGTCGCAATAAGTTGATTGTCCGCCGGACTCATCGGCTCGCTTTCCATGTCACTGTCACTGTCTAGTTCGGGTTCGTCCCAGGGTTCTACCGAAAAGGCCTGCGTCAGTTTCCTCAGTCCCCACCGATATTCCCTTGTTCGGGGTGAAAACGACACCCCCTCTTTCAAGAGTATCGCGGCTTTTTCATTTGTGAGTAGGGGCCGTGGAGGTCGAAAAGATAAATCGCACAGCCCCCTAAGCTCGGTAAATATTTCAGGTAGGGGGTCCATCCTGAGATATAAGGACGCAGGGGTTTCCGAAAGGTCAGCTATTCGGGACACCCTCTGCAAGGGTTCCCCCTGCACCACGGAGGAGAACGCGTGCGACCAATTGGACTCGCTCCGAACTATTTACAGGGGTTCTTGTCGCCAGGAATGGCGCCACCGATCCTGAACCCGGATCGGATATCGGTCGGGAACGTCAGTCTTGTCAGTTCCCGACGAGGTTTCATTTTCGCTTGGCGACAGGCGTCGGATCATGTTGATTTGGTGGGCTTTCGTGGTGATTCGAGGCGCCGGCTGGGTACGCATACGCACCGCCAATCTCATTGGTATCGTTTGTGGTTTGGGGTTGGCCGATGTGAGCACTACCTTACAGCTGTCAAAGTGCATTCGCGCTCCAACCGCCGCCTGCCATGGAATGCCTAGCAGAACATCATACGCCTGTACATCCATCACGATTGCGTCGCATAAACAATGCACCCGCCCCACCCGTATAGGCACGTTCGTTATCCGCCCTTTGCAATGAATATTGTCTTCAGTAGCGGATATATACAGCTCATCCGGTCGGAGGGGTTGAACCTGTTCTTCCCTTCCCAATCGTTTCGTCAATCTCCAAGAAATGGCGACTGCTGATGATCCCGAGTCTAGGATGGCGGCCGAGGGGTTTCCCCAGACCTCGCAGTCACACTCAACGCTTTTCCAGGTTATAGGATAGGCCCGGAGGAATACCTCGGGGTTTTCCGAGG